GCATACTGTCGGACAGGACACATACAGTACATACAAGTACACACACACAAACACACACAGTATACCGTCTACAGTTTGAGGGGGTGATGAGGGAAGATGCCACCCCCCTTGTTAGTAAAATGACTAAACTGTGCCCCCTTGGTAACCTGCCACCCCCCTTTCCATCCCTCAGTAGCAGAGAGGGTGAAGAGACATTGGTTGCCTAGTTAAATAAACGCAATTGTAGTCTACCTTCCTCATTTTTATTTGTTGTGATTGAGGTTTGTGCATGTAAGAAACTTTGGCCTCGAACATGGCTCTCACATATCAGTAGCCTAGACCTAGGACATGTGTTGCTTCTTTATGCTTGGAAAGTCAGTCTTGTGCTGGGTGTCTGCTTTTGTACCAACTTTCAAGGACGCAGAGGCAGCTTGCGCATGACATTGGTAAATCATAATTAAAAATATTGTCCAGGCATGGATAGTAAAGATCTTGGAAACCCTGCATTAAAATGATTTAGTTCTTCCTTTTAATCATATATTTTTTCGAGAAAAAGGGTGGGCTGTTATTGGTTGTTCCTTCTCGCATTTGGTGCATGTTGCTGCATTCCCAGCAGAAGTTCTAAAAGGGTGGAGCCGTCGAGCCTTACAAAATAGGCACTTGTGTCGGGTCGTAATGTTGAATTCATGCGCTGTCCGTGGTGCTGAAGATGAAGCCGGATTGTTAATGGCATTTTATCTTTCTGCGGAACATTATTATTTACGTACAAAAGAAAATCACTCATCACTATGCGCCGTAATGTGATATTTGAGGTAACTTGACATACAGCGGGGCTTGAGAAATGGAATACAAGGCAAACTATCACTACCGGACTTGATGCATGGAAGGACTGCTTCCAACATCTGCAAACAAAGATAGTTTAGCTGAATGTCATTTACTGCAACTCAATCAAAGCGTTTGCCTGAAATTATATTTTGGTTGGTTATTCTATCGTGCCTCTGAGCCTAGAGCGCAAGCTGCCAACTGACGTGAGGTTGCTGGTTAGAAGCCCCCAGGGGTGACCTGGCCCAGGCCCCAGACCACTTTAACCACTCGTCTCCATTAACAGCCTCCCAGATATCATTATGCTCCCTGGGGCCCAGGCGTGCTCTAACCAACCATTTACCCTCTCCCTCTCTCCTCTATTTCTCCCTCTCATCTCTCCCACTCTCTGCCATGATGTTACTCAATGAAAAAAGACAGCAGGGAGAAAAAAATATGAGATTGATTTATTTGCTTCAGTGTTCTTTGGGATGGAGTCCTCTCCCTCTCTTTCTCTCCCATTCCTCTCTTTCTCTGCAAACTGAAACCAATTAGCAAGTAGAGCACTTGTAGCGGGGAATGTAGGGCAAGCGAGGAGTAATAAAAAAGTATTGACTTTTCTGTGACTGTACGCGGCGTGAAAGGGGTGCCGCGGCCTTGTCCGACATGAAAGGAGCTCCATTAATTTCACTTATTTCACCCAGGCCCCTGTCAGGAGGCCCTAATGCGTCCCAGGCACACTTCTCACATGCAGACACTCAGACAGCGCAACGACGCTCGAGCCTGGTTACCAAATGAGTTTACATTATATATCAGAGCGAGGGAGAGAGGAGAGCACTGCAGAAAGGAGTCATTTCTAATTCCCTGGTTGAGACACAAAGCGAGGCCTTTCATACGTAGCTAATTTTGCCCAAATCTCACCTCCTCATCCTGATGTTTCCAATGTCCTAGTACATGGGATATATATTGGCCACAGAGTAACAAAGAGGAGATCAATGTGGCTGGTGCAACAGTATAGTGGCACATCATACCTCCATTTGTACAAAGAGCCATGAAACCTTCAAAAGCAAGTCAGCAACCTGCGACTTCCTGCTTATGTGAGGGCCTTAGATCATATGCTGTGTCATCATGCAACTGAGATCTCAAAACATATTGCACACATCTCAGCCAACAGTTCAGTGGAACGCTTGCTTGTCACACTTCTTATGCAGTCAATTCATTCCCAATGGACACATCTGAGTTCATTTCCCAAAGTTTCACCACAGTTCTCTTCAAAATGACTCCTGAATGAATCCTAATTTAGTTAAGCTGGTACGCAACGAGAGGCTCCATGAACCTTTCCAATCAACTCCTTAGATTGACCTACTGTCAGCTAAAGTCCTACCTGGAATTTTAGCATCATTGTGTGTGTGTGTGTGTGTGTGTGTGTGTGTGTGTGTGTGTGTGTGTGTGTGTGTGTGTGTGTGTGTGTGTGTGTGTGTGTGTGTGTGTGTGTGTGTGTGTGTATGCCAGAGATAGACGCACCACAGAAATATGTGTGTGTGGGTGTATGTGTGTGTGCAAAAGAGCGGAGAGTGAGAGGCTATCTGCAGACAGAAACTAATCAGTGTGTGTGAGATAAGAAAGCAGCCTTTATGGTGTATGGTAATCAGCCCCCCCTCGGCCTGCCACCGCCATGCATAATCACCACGACTTATTCACATGATTGATGAAATATGCGTGTGTGAAATCCGAGCTGCATTTGTTATCATCCTGTTTCTCCTCTCTCTCCCCCCCGCTCGTTTCCTTTTCTCTCAATCTTTTGGTGTCTCTCTAAACATCTCTCCCCTGCTCTGCAGTGGTCAAAGATGTTTGGGACCATGTCAAAACTAGAAATTACACACACAGCATGGGGTCCCTCTTGAAACTATGCACAAACACACTCAACACATACTTTTCCCTAACAAGATAGTAATCTGATGCAGGAGGGATGCATGAGAACGTCTTCTGAGGAAGAATATGAAGAGAAGGAAAAAAGAATAGATAAGCATAAGAAGAAGAAGTAAACGAGAAGACACATTTATTGTTCTGTCCTGCAGAGAAGTGTTGGCTGGAGAGAGATCGAGTGATAAAAGGACCTAGGTGGATAGATGCTACAGAGAGCTCTTGTCATTGACAGATATTCGCATGAATCAGGGAACAGATGCAAAAATCTAAACTGATCAATATAGAGAAACCAAGACACCATTTAAACAAAAAGAAGCTCCAAGTCCTTACAAGGACACGACTACTGAAGAATGAGTGGCTCCAGCTTACAAGTGTCTTAAAGGTGGGGTAGGTCATTCACTTAACACTTTTTGTTATATTCCATGGAATGCTCTTAACATCCCGATAGCAATGAATACATTAAATGCTTTGACAATAAATATATACAAACATTTCATCTGTGGAAGCCGTGGCGCTGTAAAAAGTACGACCAATCCTCTTAGCCGGCCCGGCTAAAATAACTGGATGGCCTACCTGCCTGTCAGCCTTCCATCTGTGCACCAACTTATCTCGTGCCCTCATTGGTCATTTGCGCGTTCGTGTGAGTTGGAGGAGGGGCTCTGTAAGGAAGTCTGAAGGAAGGGGCAGATTTGTTTCGGTTTCTCCATTCTTGCCTACCCTACCTTTAAGTGCATACTGCAGTAACAAAAATGAATACCTCAAAAAG